CAGTGAGTCAGTGCCAGAGCTAAAAGCTCAGGAATTCCTGGCTCCTAGCCCTAGGCGGCCAGAAACAGCTGCCATCCAAAGAATGGGTAGCAACCTGCTTTGAATTCAACAACAAATGCTATGGAGGTCCTTCAGAAAGAGATGGCTTGATCCCAGCACCTGCCACCCCTTACGTGAGAGGACGGTTTGATCCCAGCATCTGCCACCAGGCGGGAAGGCCGGCAGACGGGGCGGTTACAAAACGATGTGTAAGGGTTTCTAGCTAATGGCTGCTGAGGGAATAATGCAGCAGGCAGGATCTATTCTTTGCAATTCATTCTTCCTCCATCAACCCCTTTCATTCGCTCTTTAAGGGCTTTATCCTGCAATACCTCTGTAGGAAAGGTTCAGAGCAGGCACCCACCCTCCTCCAGAGAAACACCGAGAAGTCCGGGGCACCTGACAGGCTAACCAATTTATTTGGGCCTCAGCCTTCCTGGGTAAAACCCCACTTCTGCAGATGCATGAGTTGGATGGCCAGTTAAAAACAACCAGCCAGAGGCCTGGGGGTGGCCTCCGGTCAGGATCACAACAGGTGTTTTTCTCTCCTAAGCTCAATGAGTCCTGAAACCTATCCAAAGCCATCAGCTGGAAAGCGCACACACCCTGAGCTAATCATCCTAATTACAGCCCAACTCATCAGCCTGGGGAAAGCTTCTGTGTTTCAGTCACAGGACCCAGCCGATTCCCTTTGAAGTGCCGTGATTAGCTCTTCTGGAGCATCGGCTCAGTACAACCATCCTCCAGTTCCAGGGGCTGCCTTTTAGATCAAATTTACTGCAATCAAGTTTCTTAAAGATCTACCCCTGTGGCATCTAAGGACCAAGCCCTTAAACCAGAACTTAATGCAGAGTGGACAGTTTAATATAGAACATCAGAAAATACAAGTGATCCCGTTCCTCTCCATGGCACGGGGCTAACCTCTGATCGACCACTGAACTGTGAGAAGCACATGACCCCATTGGGCAGGGACCCCTTCTGTCAGAGGAGCACATCCGAGCTTCCGACAGGATTCAGCAGCAGGGTTACACTGGACTCACCTCTCCCCGGGAGTCCTACGTTCGCGTTGTGGTCCCTGGAGTCTTTTCCCACCTCAACTGGCTAGGAAGCTGTGGCCATTCCTGTGATGTAGACCTTGCTGCTGGGATCCACTCCTCTCACCTGGAGGACAGATCCCTGCAGAGGGCTCTGCTTGGGCCTCCCAGACACCTCAGCTAGCGCAGAATGGAACGGTTTGTGTCACGTGGCATAAACTGCTATGAGCACGTAGCAGCGGGCTGCATACTCTGCCCCCAGCAGGTGTGGGTTACAGTCCAGAAAGGCCTGAATTGCCTCAGATCCCAGTACGCCCTTCTCCACGTGCCCTATGATGGGAATTACAACCTGCTGAATTGCTCTTGCTGCCAGGCCCAGACCTGGATTCTGCTCCTTGCCACTGGCTATGGAATCAGCAGAGTGACAACACCTGCAACATGCTCCCTCTAGCAAGCCCCTAGGCCTGGGGCAAGACCTTCCTGTTTGCTCAAACTTTGGACCCTACTAATAAGCAGCAAGGATGTCAGGCCTTCCGAATGGGTTAGCCAGACACTGGGCCTTGGAGGAGGGGGACACTCCCAGAGCAATTTCTCCCCCCCCCCCCCCCCCCCCCAACCCGGAAGCAGAACGTGCCAGTGACCAAGGGAATTTCCAGCTACCACCAGCTTGAGGGATCGGGGTGGCTTTGCAGAAAGATGACTCAGGCCCCTGAGCGGCAAACCACCCTGTCACGCCAGCACAGGCGAGACTAGCAGCAGGGCACTTGGCAGAGGGACCCAGAGCAGGGGACCAGCGAAGCAGTTTTGCTAATGAGCAGTGACAACAGAGGTGCGAAGTCTAACTTCGGTCTGCCAGGCTCCAGGGGCCCAACGGTGCAGGGCCTCTGAAGACCTCACTCAGCAGGAGGAGCTCCCAGGAGGTTCTCCCCTGCCCTCAACGACTCACCTGCAGGGCTCTGCGCACAGGCACTAGGCCTGAGCCTGCCTGTCTTTCCAAAGACTGTCGACCTACCCTATCAACCATTAACCAGGAGTACACAGCATTTCCATAGCAACCCTGTCAAAAATCAACAGAGCAGCCCTGAGAACTGCAGCAGGATCTCAGCACCCAGCCAGCCACCTGAACACAGGAGCTACCAGCCTTTCTGACAGGTGCTACCCCGCTGGGCTTGCTGCTCACCTGAGACCCCACCTGCCTTCCTCTGTCTGCTTCACAAACACAAAGAGAAAGAGGGAGCATTGCTCCCAGGCCTTCCCTAGGGGTATAGGCTCTCCCCCAGCTCCTGCCAACTTTGCCATAACAACTGAAGAGAAACAAGTGCCCCTAGTAGGGGCAGGAACACTTGCTGAAGATATTCAAGAGGGCACCATACGGGTGAGGGGCAAAGGAACGGGGCTTGATTTTACAGCCATGCTGAACAGACAGGCATGTTTGGACCGGGACACACAAGAGTCACATCTTGGTAGCCAACGACGCTGACAGACCAGATCACCACAGCAAAAATCAAGTGGGTCCTAAGCTCTGCCCAACACCAGCTCATTCTTGGGCTCAGTCTACCTCCAGCTGCAAAAGAACTCTGCCCCACATGACATCCGGGACCTTAAAAGTGCAGTAGTCACACTGGCCACCACTGTTCCAAAGGCCCCAGCAAAGTCTCCAGTCTGTCGCCTTTCACCATGCTCTTCACAGGGTTTGACCCCCCCACCTGAGTTGATTCTCCCCCACAACCCACTTCCTAGCATGGCTACACATTGTTCCTCACAAGCCATAAGGAAGCCAGACGCAGGCTAGAGGAGACCCTAGATGGAGTTCTAGCCAAGCACCAGTTTGTCCTCTTGAGAAGAAGTTTAGACAATGGCTTCTCACCAAGCATTCTGTCAGTTATGGAAGAGACGTTTCCAGGAATGGTGCAGTCACAAGCAAAAGTTGTGACACTAGACACCTCACAACTCTTGGTACCAGTCACACACAAAATCAGCTTTCCTTTGTTCCATAGTAGCCAGTGAAGGAAGCACCAGCCAACTCCAGGACATTGGAACAAAGGCAGCTAAGTACTGATGGTTCCTCTGCACCAGCCATTCTTCACAGAATGCTGAGCATAGGAATTTCATCCCCAACGTCACTTAGTAGAAGCTTGAGAAGCCAGATTTAAAGACTGCCAAATCTCTGATGATGTTAGGGAACGAGCGTCTTGGCTCTTTCACAGCCTGCAATGGGAATTGCCATCTGGACAAACCCTCCTTCAGCTCATCTTTGGGCACTTGTCATCAACACTAGGATATGGGAGTGAGGAAGTGGGATTGTGTCTTCTGGAGACCCATGAAGAGGAAGTGGAACTTCTGCTCTCCTGCTAATTTGTTCTTTTGATTTTGCAAGTTTCCTGGGATGACACTATGTCTGAGTGGGCAGCGTTGACTGGAGGAGGTGATGGGTGCAGTGAAGGGTTACGGGGTAGTGGCTAGGTCTACTCCCAGAAGTCAGGTTTGGATGTTTGAGAGGTGCAGCACATTTGTAAAGGAAGTGTGATGTATAGCGAGGGATGGAACCAGATGGAATCACTGACACACCTGCGACCCAAACTCTGCTTTAGCCAGATGGTTTTTGGTTTACAGATGTGGACTGGAGGCGCCTCCAGACAGGGCCCCCATCACCTGTGCATCTGTGAAGTGCCTAGTCTGCTAGTGGGAGCTGTAACGAACAAAGAACTATTCATTCTGTCCGAGATGGGTCAGAGGCATTGCATGCAGTCGTGACCCCAGAAAGCATGCTCCAGCTTACACTTGCCAACCGAACCACAACCAAAGCTCCATCAGAGGGTGTCTGCACCGGGGTGCGGGGAGGGCTCACTTAACCTATCAACAAGCTCAGAGAGAACGGAGGCACTGCTTTTGCTGCCATCCGGAGGCTGGCAATTACTACTTGTCTAGTGCGAGGTGTTTTTACACACAGCCGTGGAAGGGTCCCTCCCCTGAAAACGATACAGTTGAAGAGCCCACAGCAACGTAGACAGATTGTCTGCTTTGGTTTTGTTGGTCATGCCTGAGACCCAGCAATTTATAGCCAAACCAGAACTAAGTCCCCCAATGGATGCCATTTAAGTAATTAATTAATAAGTAAGTAATAATACCCTTATTTACACAACAAAGGCCAAACAGATGACCCACTCATATTACCAAAACTTCAGTAAGAAGAGCAGGAAATGGGCATTCATGCTGCCGGGCACACAGATGATAGTGAAAAGCTTTGAAGGCAGATTGTCAGTGAGTAAACACAAGCTAAACACCCAAAGACTGCTAGTTTGAACAAGTCTGCTCTCAGCTTGCCTTACCCCTCCCATAGCTAGAGGGGAAAGGGCAGATTTCAGTGATCCTCACTGCTTGTTAACACTTTACTGTCAGTAGCAGGAGACACTGATAAATGTTTACTGATCTAGTGAAACTTTCTGTCACTGTTACAGCACGGGGAGACGCAAAAGCGTAAAGCAAACTGCGGTCTTGTGACCAGCCATATCTCCACAGCCCAAAGGCGATGGGCTCTCCCTTTTCCCAGCAGCAGTATTTAGAAACACATTAAATCCTTTCCGAACTGTACTTGTCCCCATCAGCGGTACCTGCTGTAAGGATGTTATCTGGTGGTTTCTCCAGCCCCAGTAATTTTTACATCCAAATTGGCTGTTTTTCTAGTTCAAACAGGGATTAATTCAAGGCAGTTCCATGGCCCGAGTTATTGAAGTGGGCTGACGGGATGACCACTGTGGTCCCTTCTGGCTGTAAACTCTATGAACCTATGATCAGGAACAGTCTGCGTGATGACATACACAGCGGCTGAGGGAAACGCTCTCCACATTAAGGTGTGAGCTGCCCTAAGATCAAGTGGGAGAACACCTGCCTTGCGTGGAGATTCAAGGAGCTGAGACGTCACCTTACCTTTGCCCAGCACTCGGCCAGTCTCCAGATCCCGCCGGGAGACAGGGAAGATGTAGCTCTCGGAGCCAAAACCTGGCTGGCACTGCGACACCTCCTCGCAAAACCACCGGCCAGCCTGATTCCCAAGAAATAAGCGTTAGTAAGTTGCATGTTCTGGCCTTGCCCTGTCTGTGATGTCCCTTGAACCCCATCGTGCTGACCCCTGAAAATCCTACCTAGAGAATTCTACTCGGAGGAGCCAGAAGGAACGGGTCCCAAAGCTCATGTCCCCCTAGCCCCCAGGGAGCTGTATCTGGCATCCGGGACAGGTCACAAGCAGTAAGCCTCCCAGAAAATCCCCCTGTTTAGAAGGAAATTCCATGTGCAGTTGAGCCCTCCCCTGCCCTCTGCACTGCCAGAATCCAGGTGAGGCAGGAGCACTAGGCTCCAGGGAGAAAGTCTGTGTCACAGACCGGCAGCCTCATGGCAGAGCCTGTCCCATGAGAGTCCCAGCCCTGGATCCGAGACCCTGGAGAGTCCAACGAGCCCTGAACGCTGGAGTCAGCGCCTGGCTACTGCGCACAATGCTGGCCAATGCTGCCCCAGCACACCACAAGTACAGCAACCCACTGCCTAGGCAGGGGTGCCTCAGAGAGCGGGGGGGGGGGGGCACACTGCAGGGGGTGCTGCCCTAAGAAGGGGGGTGGCAGCAGGGCAGCTGGGGGGAGGAGCGGCCCTTACAAAGTGGGGGTGGGGGCAGGAGGGGGTGGTAGTGGGGCAGCCAGGGCGGGTGCTGCCCTACGAAGGGGCGCATGGGAGGCTGAGGGGGTGGCAGCCGGGTGCTCCAGGAAGCGGCTCTGCACCACCCCCCAGAAGAGACCCCCGGCCTCGCCCTGGCCGAGCGGAGCTGGGGGGCGCAGTCCAGCCCCAGGAAGGGAGCGGGGAGCGGGGACGGGGACGGGGACCGGCCCCGTTACCTGCAGCAGCAGCAGCAGGCAGAGCCCGGGCAGGCGGCCCCGCGGCGGCCCCATGGGACAGGAGGCGGCAGGTCGCTGCGGATCGAGGCTTCGCTCTGCTCCGGGCGCGCTGCAGCGCCGAGTGCCGGCCGGGCAGGTGCGGCCGCTCCCCGCGCCGCGCCCCGCCCCGCCCCGCCCCGCAGGTGAGGAGGCTCCGCCCCTGGGCCAGCGGTGGGTGCGCTCCGCTCTGGCGCGGCTCGGCTCGGCCCGGTCCGGTCCGGGCTCCAGCCTGGACCTGCCTCGCCCGCAGGGCCTGGCTCCCCGGGGCAGCCCTTTGTCTGCCCCAGAGGTGTCTTCCAGCGCCCCCTGCATGGGGCATCCAGCTCCGAGCCCTGCCTGGTGCCTGGACAGGGGCTCGCCCGCTGGGTGCTGGCAGCAAGGCCCGGGCTGGCCAGAGAAAGGGACCCTGAGGCAGCACCCAGGGCCCGAGCAGGCCCCTCCGCGCTGGGTGCCCCAGAGAGCCAGTCCCTGCTCGAGAACGCTCCGGGGGAGCCTGGGCTCACGTCCAGCAGAGCTGCCGGGGCAATGCCCCGCTGGGCCGACAGACCCACCCGGCGCGGATCCGGCCTGCTGGCATTAGGAGCCTGGGCTCCCCAGGAGGTGCCTAGAGCCCTGAGGGGACGTCAGACAAATCTGACAGGGAGCGGGGGTGTACACCAATGAGATAACAAATGATCCTCACTTCTCTCACCCTGGGAACAAGCCCCCTCAAAGCTGGCCTCGGCGGTGTCCCCAGGGTGTGTGGCAGTTGAGGAAGGCCTGGGATGCGGGCACAGCTGGATGCTGCTGGGAGGGGCATGGCGACATGGCTGGAGAGGGCAGTGCAGCCGAAGTCACAGGCACACAAGCAGATCCAGCGTGTTCCTTAGCCCCCTTATTATTTCCTCCCGTGGGAGAGGGATGACGCAGATCTGGCCTCTGTGGGAAAGAATAGAAATGCACTTCTGCAGCCTCAAGGGAGCCGGCTAAGGCAGAACTGTCCCAGCCCCAGCCCAGCCCCTGAAAGCTGCCACTGCGTTTTGTCCTCGCCCTTCTAGCCTCCCTAACTGTGGCACAGGTCAGAGGAGCGAATGTAAAGGCAGCCCTGCAGGAAGTGCATTTCCATTTGGGATTTTCGGGAGAGGCAGATTTCCCAAACCAAGCCACTGTGCGCTGCTCAGAAACAACTCACTGGCCCGTGAACTGCAAGGCCTCTGGGGCGAGGGCTGGCTCCTGCTACTTGTCTGTGCAGCACCCGGCACAAGGGGGGCCCAGCTCAGCTGATGCTTCTGGGTGCTACCCAAAAATACAAACTATCATTACCAGTGAGATGCCTGCTGTCACCCCTCAATCACTTCACAACCTGCCCCTCATCCTTTGTCTGTTGGAATTCCAGTGGGGAATCTAGAACCAAACCAATCAGGCTGTTTAAGTACACGTTTGCAGATTTAGGTTCTCAGACTGTAAAGTTTTCAGGAGAGGAAACTTCTGTCCTGCAATAAGAGTGTCCTGACCTCTCTGGGTTCCGTTGACATTGGAAAGCTTGATCCTGGCTCTTAGGGTGCATGATGGTTGGGATCTAGGGTTAAATATCTTCACCTGGTGTAAACTGGCAACACTCCGCTGATGTCACTTCCAGGTTCCACCAGATGAGGAGCTGGTCTGTGAACTTTCAGTCTTTATCGCAGGCTCAATGGCCACCTGATGGCAGAAACAGGTGGCTGAAGTGCCCTTTCTGCACAAACACAGAGCAAATGCTTTCCCGGAAACAGCTGTTGTTTGTGAATTTGCCCGATCCTGTCTGGCCGTCAGCAAACAGAAGAAAAGCACAGCAAGGTTCTTCAGCCCGACCCCAGCCTGGACCTGGGAATTGAACGGACCAAGTAAGACAGAACCAGCTGCTTGGTGTGAATTTAGGCCCAGGTCCTCAGAGGTATTTAGGCTCCCACATTCCCTTCAAATCAGTGGAAGTTAGGAGCTGAACTACCTTTGAGGATCTGGCCATAGCGCCTCCCTCAGCTTCTCTGGTACCTATGTGCCGCAGCCCAGCCGAGAGAGGGTGAGGGCCAGCCCTCAGCCTTGTGCAAATGGTGGGTTAGTAAGTGGGAAGGGCAGGGTACAGCCACATGGCTTGTCACAAATATCTGTAAATCTGCCTGTCAAAGGTAGCATCAAACCTTTCCTGGATCTGGGAACACATCCCCAGCCTGGAAGGCAGGGCCAGACTGTAGGGCAGCCTGGGCTAGGGGAGCCTTCTCTCCCTGTCACTCTAGCTTGTTCAGAAGGACACATTAGCATCCATCTCTTTCCGAGAGGGAGGGAGGGAGCAGCTGGGATCCTGGCCCCAAGGGCCTGGGTAACTCTCATCTCCTGGCTGGCTGGAATTCATCCCTGTGGTGGTGCAGGGACCCAGGAGAGGTGGACTGAATTGCACCTCTTAAGATGAGGGGTTGGTTAGCAGCAGGGAAGAGTTGGGTGTGGCTCAGGAGCCATTGTCCTGGCTCTGTACCACCCAGGGATCCCTCTACGCTTGTAGTGAACCCGCTGGGACTGCGTTAGGATGGCTTGAGAGCAACCTCAGCACCGTGGAAGGCAGAGCACAGCACAGCACAGCAGCATTCTCGGAGAGGTCTCTCAGGCCATGTCTACACTACAGATCTGGGCTGACACGAGCGATGTGGCATAGAGCTGCAGCGGTTAGTATGTTGCACGCTGGTAGATCACGTTGGGTCTGGGCATCGGTGCTGCACGTATTCGTCAGGCGTGCGTGTGTGGATGCACAGCACAGCGCCCCAAGGGAGGTTTCCCAGTGTGCCGCTCACCACGGTCCAGCACACTGTCTTCTGGGAAATCTTGGCAATACATGGCAGGGCAGCACTGAGTCACGCAGGGGTGCCTGGGAGCAAGGGGGTCAAGTTCCCAGCATGCAACTTCATCCCGCAGTGGTGCCATCCGTATCCCATGATATGCACGCCTTTTAAAAACATCTCACACACCGGCCTGGCCCTTTTTGCGGTTCATCGTCTCTGACAGAAACATGGAGCCTGCGGCCCTGCACAGCTGTGCACCGTTGGCATGAGCGTTACAAGCCCAGGCTGAACGACAGTCCAGTATTTGCAGAGCTGCACGAAGAACCACAGCACCAGGGAACGGGATGATTTCGTGGAGGACAGATTGCGTGGGACACAACGGAAACCAGTTCAAGATGTTGGCGGCTTTCGAGGAGTAGCTGCTGAGGGTGGAGCGCGCTTCTCGCCCCTAGAGACGAGAACTGACGGATGGATGGTGTCGTAGTACAGGCCCCATTCCTAGCTCTGTGCTCAGCTCGGTCCAGCCCTCCAGTGCAGGGACACCAGAAGGAGAAATGTATTCCCAGCTGAGAAGAGAACGGTGATTGAACTGTGAAAGCTTGCAACGCCAGCTTGCTGCCAGTCAGTGGGCAATCACTTGGGACCTGGAAGATCCACAGTGGGGGCCGTTGGCAGGCAAGTGTGAAGGCCGCTCCTCGTCTCCTGCTGGGCAGGTCTGTGATTCTCTGTAACGTGCAGGACATAGTGGATGAATCTGCTGCAATGGTGCTCCCAAACTGCCGTGGGGTGATAGATGGCACGTGTATTCCTGTTTTGGCACCAGCTCACCTTGCAACACCGTACGCCAACAGCAAGGGCTATGTTTCTGCGGTTACGCACACATTGGTGGCTCACCAGGGATGCATCACTGACATCAGTGTGGGCTGGTCAGGGAAGGTGCATGACACACGCATCTTTACGCACACAGGACTGTTCAGAAAGTTACAAGCAGGGGCAGTCTTTGACAACCAGAGAGTTAACTCTGGTGATGTTGAAATGCCAGTTGTGATCCTGGGGGACCCGGCCTACCCCTGGCTCATGAAGCTGTACACCAGCCCCCTCGACAACACCAAGGGAAGCATCAGCCTCTGGCTCAGCAGGTGCAGAATGAGAGTTGAATGTGCGTTTGGTAGGTTGAAGGGAGGGACGCTGGCTTTGTTCACTCACATGATTGGATCTAAATGAAAAAAAAATCCCAATGGTTCTAGTTGCCTGCTGCATCCTGCATGATGTCTGTGAAGCAAATGGGGAAGTTGCTGCTGGGGTGGGGGTGGAGCGGCTCTCTGCTGAATTTGATCAGCCCGACACAAGAGCTGTTAGAAGAGCTCAGTACAGAGCTCTATGGCTCTGGGAGGCCTTGAAAGAGCCCTTTGACAGTCCGCCCCAGTGATGTGCGGGGTGGGCTGGATGCTCCTTGGCCCTGCAGTTTGGGGGCCTGTTAGGAATCGTGCACATCTATGACTGTAACCCTATCTGCTAATGCACCCATTCACTTTTCAGTGCTTGCTGGACATTTCTAATTACTCTGTGTGCCACTGACCCCATAAGTTCTGCTGCCCAGGACAATGCCCATGTCAAAAATATACAGGGAAGGGTAAACACCTTTAAAATCCCTCCTGGCCAGAGGCAAAACCCTTTCACCTGTAAAGGGTTAAGAAGCTAGGATAACCTCGCTGGCACCTGACCAAAATGACCAATGAGGAGACAAGATACTTTCAAAGCTGGAGCAGGGGAGAAACAAAGGTTCTCTCTGTCTGTGTGTTGTTTTTGCCAGGAACAGAAAAGGAATGGAGTCTTAGAACTTAGTAAGTAATCTAGCTAGATATGCGTTAGATTCTGTTTTGTTTAAATGGCTGATAAAATAAGTTGTGCTGAATGAAATGTGTATTCCTGTTTTTTGTGTCTTTTTGTAACTTAAGGTTTTGCCAAGAGGGATTCTCTATGTTTTGAATCTGATTACCCTGTAAGGTATTTACCATCCTGATTTTACAGAGGTGATTCTTTTACTTTTTCTTCAATTAAAATTCTTCTTTTAAGAACCTGATTGCTTTTTCATTGTTCTTAAGATCCAAGGGTTTGGGTCTGTGTTCACCTATGCAAATTGGTGAGGATTTTTATCAAGCCTTCACCAGGAAAGGGGGTGTAGGGTTTGGGGAGGATTTTGTGGGGAAAGACGTTTCCAAGCGGGCTCTTTCCCTGTTATATATTTGTTAGACGCTTGGTGGTGGCAGCAATAAAGTCCAAGGGCAAAAGGTAAAATAGTTT